CTGCCTTCCTGACCAGGACCTGGGTCCTAGCGCCGCCGCCTCCCCAGCCTACCCGGCAGCTCCCCAGTCTACACCGCGTCTCGTGGTGGCCGGCAGGCCCGCTTCACACTGAACAGACGGAAAGGCGTGCCATGGTCCCAAGGTTAACCTAAAAGACCGAGTTTCTAGGACCGAGGCAGGCGCCACTTCCCTAGCGGGGTGGGGTTGAGATCATGTCGAAGGCAGTCATTTCCCAGGCTGGGGAGTGGAGAAGTGGAAGTGGAGAAGCGGAAAGGTTAGTCAGCAAAGTCCAGTCCTGGCAAAGGGGTGGAGAAAGGCGAGAGCCTGCTGCGCCTGCTGCCCACTCACCTCTGTCCTGTGGGGGCAGCCGGGTCCTGCCTGGATCATCACTTTCCCAGCGACATCTGCAGGGCCCTGCGGGTCGGGAAGAGTCCTGTGCGTAGGAAAAGGAAGGTCGGCTCTGGAGCCAGACAGGGAAGACCTGCCCACGTTTAGCCAACACCTGGTCAGAGGAGCCGGGGATGACCAGGAAAACCGACCAGCCATTAAGGTGTCCCAAATGTCCACCTATTCTTTAACTCCAGTGCTTTCTTTTGATAGGGCTATATAACTGTGGGAGACCGAATGAGGACAGAAAAGTCTAGAAGAGGACGACAGTGTGGCTATCGTCTAAAATGTCTACTGTAGGGCCCCAGGGTGGGGAATAGTGCCCTATAGGATGTTGGAGTTTAGAGAATTTCTAGTCCAGCCTTCTCTTGTTTGGCAGATAAACAAATTAAGGCCAGAGAGGATAATCAACTTGTTCAAGGTCAAACAGATAAAATGTGACTAGAAACCAGCTTTCCTTTTCTAGCAACTCAACAGGCTTTGCAGGCTTCAATTCAATGCAATTCAGTTCTACAAGCAATTGCCTAAATTGTGCAAAAGTGAGGCTGAATATTCTGGAAGAGGAACAGATATTGCGATGATGATGATGAAACACACTGGCAGGTTGGGGGGTGGGGGTCGACAAATACCTCTTCCTCTGGGGTCTAAGGAGGCGCTCTGAACACTGGGTGGACAGGGCGTGGCCACACACATCAGTAGAATCTAGATTGGCCTGGATGTCCGTACTCCACAGAGGAGTGGGCTCTCCAGGCTCCACTGCCCACTGCCAATGGCTCAGAGCGTGAGGAGGAAGGAGCTTCAGCAAAGCCTAGAGCGTGTGGGACAGAAAGAGGGGGCCAAGAGCACTAGGAGCGTTTCTCTCCCCCGGAGACAGCAGATTGCCAGGCGGGAGCGGTAGACGGGTAGACACAGAAAGCCTTCTCTCTCTCTAAGTGACAGATGTACAGGTCACCTTGGAGAAAAAATAAAGACCTCCAACAGCCTGCTGACCTCAAGTCCCTGAGTGCACAGGGGCCACACGCAGGGGAGAGAGGTCCTTCCTTCTGAAGAAGGCAAGGATCCAGCAAACTTCTAAGGAATGCTCCCCCGCCCCCCAACCCCCAAAATAAAAATAAGTAAAGGCAGGTGAAGAAGAGAGCTCAGGACATGGAACTGGCTTCTTAAAGGGCCAGGGGAGAGGCCTGTACCCTCTTTTTCCCTCTTCCCTTACCCAGGGTGGATGAGGAGCATCTGCCTACCTCCCGCCCCAATCGCAGGGCAGGCGGGTCGGAGACAGGAGGCAGGGGAGGAGCCTGTGCCCGTCAGACGGGCGTGGCCACG